TATTAGTCGTTTGTTTTTCTAAAAAAAATATTTATTTACTGTTTGTTGTTAATTTGCATTTAAAAATTATTTGTAATTTATTAATGTATTAATTTATTGTAATTTGTATTTATTCACTGTTAATTTATCATAATTTGTATTTTTTCACTGTTAATTTATCATAATTTGTATTTATTCACTAAATAAGTTATTGTTAATTTGTATTTAAAAAAAATTTGTTATTTATTAATTTATCAATGTATTCATCTATTGTAATTTGTATTAAAAATAAAAGTTTATTTACTGTTTATTTATTGTTTTCAATATATTTTGTAAAGTTTCTTAATGAATTTTTAACTAAATAATAAATATGTAATGTTATAATGTAAAAAAAAGGTATTTAATAAATTTAATGTTTTGAATGAAAGTTTCGAATGAATTATTAAATTAGCTTGTTGAAAAAAATTAATAAATGCCGCTTTATAATACTGTTAGAGTTTTAAATGGTGAATAAATATTAAAAATAATAAATTTTATTTTATTTATATAGCATCATAAAATGTAATTTATTTATACACATTAATTGAAGAAGAGCAATCTTCTCATTAGTAATGTATATCAAGTAAACGAAAATGGTTTGAATGAGTTCATAAAGGAAGAATTAAGCAATAAGAACAAGTATCAAATCAAGTTGAAAAGTCTTGAATTATTATTAACTGTAAAAGTAATAAGGACTTTATTACTGATTGCGGGAATCGAATTAAATCCCGAACCTTTCCCTCGTTCTCCTCTTCAGTCAAACCAAGCAGCTATGCAAAGAAAAGGCGAGAAAGACCTCGTAAGGAAATTAACAAGGATGTGAAGGAAAATAACCAACTCGTGGAAATAATGGAAGAAGAAAAAAATAAGAATATCTATCGGATGAAGATGTGAGAGATACTTATGGATCCAAGAGAAGTTCGACGATTAGACATTTTTTCGAGCCAGAAATTGAGCCAAAAATACAACGTGGCGACGATTCCAATTATACACTAAAATCGATTTACAATCTAATTCAAGAGAAGTTTGCTCTTTTAAATTTGGAAATTCAAACAATAAAATCAGAAATCAACACTATGAAAGAAGATAACTTTAAGGTGAAAGAAGAGATGGGAAAAATTGGTCAAAAGATTCACATATTAGAAGAAANGGAAAATAACCAACTCGTGGAAATAATGGAAGAAGAAAAAAATAAGAATATCTATCGGATGAAGATGTGAGAGATACTTATGGATCCAAGAGAAGTTCGACGATTAGACATTTTTTCGAGCCAGAAATTGAGCCAAAAATACAACGTGGCGACGATTCCAATTATACACTAAAATCGATTTACAATCTAATTCAAGAGAAGTTTGCTCTTTTAAATTTGGAAATTCAAACAATAAAATCAGAAATCAACACTATGAAAGAAGATAACTTTAAGGTGAAAGAAGAGATGGGAAAAATTGGTCAAAAGATTCACATATTAGAAGAAAGGGTCAATACTAATAATAACTTAAAAGGTATGTTCGAATTTTAAATTGATAAAATGTTAAACGAGACTACTAGAAAAAATATAGTCATTTTCAATTACCCATTTAAAACGTTAAATTTCATAGAAGAAATTAAAAAATATATTAACGAACAGCTAGATCTTAATAATATAGAAATTGAGAGACTTGTACAATTAAAAAATATTAATAATAATCGAACAATAAAAGTTATGATGGAAACGATAAAAGCTAGAAATTTAATCCTGAAAAAATTCTGGTCAGTGAGACCGAAAATGGTAGATGAAATGAAAAAAAATAATTATAACATCGGACTTATGCTTAAGATCAAGAATTAGATTAAAACACTAAATATGATTAAGTTTGGAAATTCAGATAATAATAGAATAAGAGTAAAGGACGATTATTTTATAAAGAATAATTTAATGTATACTATAGATATTAATACTAGAGAGATCATACAGTTGAACCATTTTTTAGAATTAAACAAAAAAAAATCTTATAAAAGACAATATTCTTGTCTGTTGAATTTACGGTCGCATGCTGCACTGTCAATTCTCAATTGTACTGTTCTCGCAGCCTTAGATCATCACTCTGTGTGTAATTTATTTTACCAATTAAATCAATTGTTTCCATTGAACAATGTAGACGATTATTTCCAAAATCGGGCCAGTTAGTTTTATGTAAAATACGTAGTGGAGCTGGCCAATGCAATCCGGTTCACTCAGTGGCGTAGCGTGGGTGTCAGCCGCCCGGGGCGGAGGAAAATTTTGCCCCTCTTGTTTAGGTATCTCAATTTAAAAGACTAAAATTCAGTTTCGTCACAAAATAAGTAATGAAAAATTCCGTGCTAGTGTTGCCACCTTATTAAAATCGCTGACCCGGACGGCAGGTGAAGTTTGTTCGAATAGAAGTTTCTGACGCATGCGTAGCCTATATCATTTTGCAATTTGAAGAATAATGTGCAGTGCATGCTGGTTCTAAATCAGTTACAGTTAGCGACTAGGGAGACTTCGATAGGAGTAACGCAAGTGACCTAGCTGTATTAGATATTGGAGGTGTATATATATACGAATAAATTTTACAAGCAGAAAAAGAAGTCAACAAGTTGCGCACGATATCCCCGGACGACGAGTTGATTCCCGGACTATCCGGATGGATGGTAACACAATTCCGTGCTCATTTCAATCAGTCCGAGTCGTAGGTGAACGAAAATATGAAATATAATGGTTCAAATGCTTACAAGATGTTATTATTATTTATTGTGAAATTTTGCCGCCCCTAAAACGTAATTTTGCCGCCCCCTAAAAAGTGCCGCCCGGGGCGGGCCGCCCCTGCCGCCCCCACTACGCTACGCTGCTGGGTTCAGTTCACTTCTTGCAGAGTCTTGGAACAGGTGAGTTACCTGTTTGGGTCAATCAGCACTGTAGCACGATCAACTCAGACACGCTTGGAGTTCAAATTGAATACAGTAGACTCCCTATAACACTTTAGATAATTCCGTGTTATATGAATTTCATGTTGTACGAGTCACTTAGATTTTACTCTAAGTGACCCGCACAACATGGAATTCATATAACACGGAATTATCTACACTGTTAAAGAGGGGTCTACTGTATATGTTTAAAGTCATTGAGAAACAAATTCAAATGTATATTTAAGTAAGTAAAATATCTGTTCATAAGATATATTAACAGTCTAGTTAAAAATGTATATATATTTTTATGTATATGTAAAGACCATTAATGGAGAAGGTCCTGATAATCATCTTCTATGCTTGAAAGAATTTTCTCACAACAAAAGACAGTATGATCCAGCACTATTTAGAGATAAATCGTATCAAGAATATCTAAACTTTTGTCTGCAAATAAAGCAGGTAAATAATTATAAACGGTATCTTTGGAAGATTTTTGTAGGTCTGTTTCGTGCTAGATTAGCAAAATTTGATGAAAAAAAATTACACTATACTTAGTGTTTATTTTCTAAAGTTTGTAAAATATTCGAGTTGAAAACAAATTAAAATCACACTTTCTTCTGCTAAAGATCTTATAATATAGTATTTTTTTAATGGAACCGAATTTAACACTTCACAATTTAAAGAATAAACAAAAAATTTAAATTCTTTGCCAAAATATGAATATAATAACTTAACTTTTCAATAAGATTTCATTAAAAAATTTACAATTTCTAACCATAATATCGTGTTTGAATGGCCGATTGGTTAAGGCGACAGCCTGCCACTCTGTGGAATCTGGGATCGGATTCTGACAGGTCTAAAAATCCCAAGAGTTTTTTGTGGGTGGTTCTTCGGGATATGTTAGGTTCTGTCCCTCACTGCCCACCTTGTGTGCGTGGTAAAATCCATAAAGCGCATGCTAGAAAGGTTCTTTTTTTGTACCTACAATGAGAAAGAGATTAAAAAAATATATATAGGAGACACCTCTGCATTAAGCATGTAAATTTATGTTAAAAGTCGCGATTTGCTGATTTTTTTAGTTAAAATTTCGTTATATTTAGATTAATTCCAAATATAATATAATCGTGGGATATGGACCTATGACGAGGGACGGCTATAGTTGCTGTTTTAATCTTCAAGAACATCAAATAATATTCACTCTGACATCATTTAATACATTCGAAAAAACAGATTTGCAAAGTTTTGCCCAACATTTGACATCAAGTTTGATCGAAATCGGCGAATTTTGTCAAAAGAATTTACGAAAACTCACAATAAGGTCAGTTAAAATTAGCGTAAATTCTATATAAGAATCATTTATATAATTTTTTCAAATGTTATTTTTATTATTTTCAGCACCAAAGAGAAATCATTGCGTAAATTAAAGCGAGAATAATTATCTAAATCGAGTCATAAAGTTTATTAGCTATGAGATGTTACCATTGACACCATGATTAAATTTCTTTAATTGAATAAATTAATTTCAAAATTTTTTGGTGATTTATTTGCTAATAAACATAAATAAACATAAAACATAAATACAAAACTTTAAAAGATATTAATTTTTTNCGTCGTCAACGTAATGCTCATTTTATAATAAGTAATAGATGCGTAAATATATTTTTAATTTATAAATAGCTTTCAAAAAATTCTAAAAATAAAATTTTAAATTAAATTATTCGACAATAAATCGACAAATAATACTCGAATAGAATACAACGTATTCGAACAAAATACAAATATTAGTTGCCATAACACAATAACGCTAAAATTTTCTTTTTTACAATTAAATACAGTCGACCCCCTATAACACTGTTGATTTTTTTGTTTTCAATCTATGTTGATCTATCTCAATGTTCAATCTGTTTTGATCTATGTTCAATCTGTTTTGATCTATGTGTACGAGTCACATAGATTTTTCAAATACGTGTGCCGGGCTGTGAATGGCTCACGTATTTGTAAAATATAAGTGACTTGTACAATATGGAATTCATATAAAACGGAAAAATCAACAGTGTTATAGGGAGATCGACTGTAGTCAATTTTACTTTAAATAAAACAAAAAATATCAATTTAATGTTGTTTGTGCATTATTTTTTTTACATGTTCCGCATTAATAACAAAATTTAAAGTTTACTACAAAAACTACGTAAAAATATTAAGTATTTTGCATTATATTTGATATATTTAAATGCAAGAAAAATATTAAATTATTACGCTTTAAATCCATACCAGAAAAATGTATCAAATGCACAATTCGGCTAAATTATTTTTACTAGTATTTTGAAAATGAATGTACTGTAGTAACACAAACATTTTAAAGCATCCGATCCTTACATTTTTTACTCTCCAGAAAAAACATTTTGTTATTCAAATAAAATCTGTTTTTATTACGAACAGTATTCACTCGTTTAAAGCACTCGTTACAAACTTTACACATATAAACTTTTTTGAACTGCATCGTGAACCATCCGTCGATGTCTACGCTACATTTTGCTTTCCTCCGCTTATTTGCGGGAAATCTAAACGATCGAACGTCTGTAGATTTACTTTTACAATTTCGTGCCACGCAATAACCCAGTGTTTAAAGGTTTGAGTACTTATATACGTAATAATAGTCGACTCACGCGGGAACTACGTGTGGAGTATAGTCTATCGATGAGTTTCAAAATAGCCGCTGCCGCGTAGAATCGCGAGATCGTGTCCCGACCTTCTTATATAGACCTTGCTTGACAAGAAAGTATGCAGCGCCATCTCCCATCGCTAGCAATAACTAAATTCGATTAATAAAAAAATCGGATACGAGAAAATAAGAAGCACCGTCGATCCATACGTTCAAGAAAATTAAATAAAATAATTTTCAAGTAGAAAACGGAAGGGGAGAAAGAAAAAAGTGAAAGATAGGTACTTATAGAAGTNGCAATAACTAAATTCGATTAATAAAAAAATCGGATACGAGAAAATAAGAAGCACCGTCGATCCATACGTCCCAGAAAATTAAATAAATTAATTTTCAAGTAGAAAACGGAAGGGGAGAAAGAAAAAAGTGAAAGATAGGTACTTATAGAAGTTTCCAAGCGATACTGTCGGCCGGGAGCAGTGGCGTGTTCCTGTAATCCTGCCATGGGAAGCCAGAACTAGTGGACGGCTTGAGGACTAGAAGAGAACCCTCAGGATTCACTATCTCGAGCGGATAAGCTCCCGCGTCGTGCAGTAGTGGGACAGGATCTGTGGATAGTGGTGTGTCGGTACAATTCCAATATAGTTGGACCTAGTTCAATTTTTTTTTCTTGTTACTTNTGCGAGAAAATACCTTACTCCCACAAGAAAATTCGATATAATGCGGGCGAAGCTGTGGGTAGGCAGCTAGTGATAAATAGAATAATTTTTTTTTTTTACGTTTATTATTTTTAACATACAATTCTAATAATAATGAAAATAACATAAGGTTATTTTAATTTTAATGTGACAAATGTGCACAATTTTTTTTGCACAACTTTGTAAAATTTGGTTGGTTTTTGGTCAGCTTCAGTCTCAAACCATCTTCGAGTTGAAGTCGGTGACGATGTTTAGTTTTCATGTTTGTCATGGCCGAAAATCCGCTCTCGCAGAGGTATGTTGTGCAAAATAGTAGTAAAATTTCTTCTTAGTGTACATTCTCTTGACGTACCCTATTAAAACGCAATCAAAAACGCAAAAACCGGCATCTAAAATACTATAAATAGAAGCAGAGTTCTTTACCGTAAGCCTTAATTTATAATTATTTTTCTTTTTTAAATTTGATAAATAAATTATTTTCTGCATTTACATTGTGCAGAATGTCGACCGTAGATAGGTAATAGACGATCTTTTTAAATTCTACGTCTCGAGGCTTGACCATCTCCGAAATTTGTTCGAAGAAATATCTTTTTCGTCCATTTTCGACCATGGCATGAAATAAATCAAATTCTTAGGATTTCGCTTTGCGGAAAGATTCCTCGGTCGCCGCGGGTTTCGCCTATTAATGCAACATCAAACTGGATAAAGTTAATATTAAAAATACCAAAAAATTTTTATAATACGGCCGAACGAAAATTAAGTCCGAGACAACGGGAGATCGACACAGAGGATAAACAGACTGAGCTAGGGGCAAACGACCATTCTTTCTCCTTGAATTTCTGACCTTTTAAAGGATCTTTCCCCTAAATTCTTAATGTGATCGCTTAATTAATTTGACACGTCTGCAAGTGTTGATCCAACTTTGAAACTTTCGCTCGTACCTCTCATGCCATGATATTTAAGTTAATGTATTTAAATTGATTAAATTAATAAACGTTATTTTCGAATTCTGTGTGAACATTTTATTTACTTATTTTTATTTTTGATTTATCAAGTTATATTATAGAGATGATGTAAATTACTTTACTGTAAATAAGATGCAAGCAGCAACGCCAAATATATTATAAACTGAAGGTGATGAAAAATGTCCGAAATTATCTGATATATTCTTGTCTGTTGAATTTACTTCTTAATTGTACTGCTCTCGCTGCCTTAGATCATCCCGCTGTGTGTATTTTATTTTACCAATTAAATCAATTGGTTCCATTGTCCAATATAGACGATTGTTTCCAAAATCGGGCAAGTTTAGTTTAATGTGAAATACGTAGTGGAGCTGGCCAATGCGTTCGGTTCACTCCACTTCTTGCAGTCTTGAAACAGGTGAGCTACCTGTTCGGGTCAAGCAGCAATGTAGCACGATCAACTCAGGCACGCTTGGAGTTCAAATTGAATACAGTACACTACCCCTACAACAGTGTAGATAATTCCGTGTTATATGAATTCCATGATTACGAGTCACTTAGATTTTACTCTAAGTGACCCGTACAACATGAAATTCATATAACACGGAATTATGTACAGTGTTATAGGAGGTCTACTGTATATGTTTAATTCTGAAATACGATCCTTCGTATTGTAATTGCGGCGATATAGAGATGATATAGAAAATATGTAGTATAAATGAATAATTAATTAAAATAATTAAAAAGGAAGAGTATATTTGAAAGAAATAATTTAAAAAATATTTACCTCAGTAAAACGTATGAAAATAAATAATCAATGTATATAGCTACTAAAAGTTTAATTGCTGAAAATCAATGTTGAATATGTAAAATACTTAGTTCACATTGTTTTTGACGGGTTAATTACATGATATTTCTATGATATGGCGATAAAAATAACATTTAATTGCAGCATTTCGTACAGACATAATAGAAAATTTATATCAGTTGTAAATGTGGTCATTAAGCGGGGTCATTTCTCTAAATGTAATTAGATATTACTTAAAAATGCAAATATAAACGAAATAAAGCAATAGTTATATGTAGTGTAATATAAGATATTTATTTTCGAATCAAGGGAAGACATCTTTAAAAACTTCTGTGTCATTAAACTGTATATATAATTTGCAGCATTAAAAAATTAAGTAGACACAACAATTCTTCAAGAACATTTGGAACATCATAAATACTATATTTCAGTAGTGCACTCACAGGGAGGCAAAGGTACTGTACTTGACACCCTTCAAATAAAAAGAGAAGAAATACAAAAATATTTTCCAAAAATCGTTTTCTAATTAATATTTCTTTACATTTATACTGTGTCGTGATTTCTATTTCTATACAACTTTTGAATTAACGGTCACGTAAGGTGGAAATTTTAGTGAATTGGCATTAAAATGTTTTTTCCGTTTAATTCGGCTCCCTCAAGATTTAATCCTTAGTGCGCCACTATTTGTGGGCACAATGTTAACTTCGAAATCTATTGGGCAGAAAGTTTTGCTGACTAGCCACCAGAGCCACTGCTACAGATGCCACACAAGAAAGCCTATAATTGAAATTATAAATTCTTGTTTTAAAATTGAGAAGATTCTGTCAACCAATTTTGTTCCGAATACAGTCGTGGGTTCGCGCCTCGCCAAAACTGGCCAGCTACATGGCGTTTATACCCGGTTAATAGTCGGGACAACACGATACTTTTGTTCTCCGAGACGTTTCGTAGTTTTTTGACACATTAATTTAATCTATTTTTAGAACAAAACATAAAGCGACTATAATTATTAAATTTTATATTAAATAAACAAATGATAATAGTAAAAATTAATAAACAAACAAACATCTTTTAAAAGTTAGTTGGTTAAATTTTTTTTGCTATTTGGGAGAAATAGGAGTCTTGAAAAACAGCTTCTCTACATTAAAAACTGTTACCTCTCAAACCATGTCACTCTAAGTCGTTTTATTCAGAAAGACTTTATTTCATCAGTTAAAATTTTTTCAATGGTTAAAAGAAGCAACAAAAGAGTGCATTTTCTTTTTACGATTCCAAATATAGAAATAGATTTAAGAAATAAATTAGAATTTAATTAGAAATTAATTGAAATTAATTAGAAATTAAAGATATAAAATTAGAAATAAAAGCTGTTTCATACAAAACCAAATTCAAATCCTATCACATCTACGAGATATCTAGGTAAGAAGCCAACGGAATATGGTCTAAAATTCTTTCCTGACACCATTCCTTTAACATTTCTTACTACTTGCATTTTATTTTACTCCTTTCGCCCAGTGGACACAAAGTAATAGTAATAAAGACTAATAAACGTATCAAGAGTAATAAGAAAAATAAACGCAACGCGACGAANTTTTTTTTTTTTTTTTTTTTTTTTTTTTTTACGAACGAATAATTAAATAAATCACTTGCAAATAGTAATACGAAATAGAGGTAATTCTTCTATACGTTTATATTAGGATTCTTATAATCAGTGGCGGCCTTAGGGGGTGGCGAGAAGGGCAATCACCCGGTGCCTCGCTCTTGGAGGGGCCTCGCGCAACAACCAAGTAGAAAAAAGTTGATATTTAAAACTTCATATTTTATCCTTGGCTATTAGTTATAACAATAAAATAAATTTAATTTATAGTACAGTATATATTAATATTAATAAGTGCCTACTATTTCAGTTCACATACTTTGCACAAAGAACAAGGGCCTCGCAAAGATCTGCCGCCCAGAGCCTCGCAATGGATAAGGCCGCCGCTGCTTATAATGTAATTTTCAATTAACTGATTATCGCGCGCGTGACTCGCGTCGGACGCGCCGCGCAAAAATACCTATTTCGTCTATTGTTGCGTTAACAATAATTAATAATATTATAGTTTTGGCGATTGTCAAAGCGAGTTTTTTTGTCGAAGTTATTCGATGCGATTGAATTTGTTGCTTATTATTTTGTTTAAAATGAGTTTTATAAGTAAGTTTACCACTTCTTCTTATACATATATTAAGCATCGCGTTAAATGTTTTTATTTATTTAGAAAATAAATAAAAATATTGTAATGTAAACTATGATACTGATCAATTCTGCACTTTCTTGTTTAAATGAGTTAATTGAGAAGAGAAAATGACCGACTGCCATTAATTACATGTAATAACTATGAAATTATTATTTACAGATGTTGATTGTTATTGCGTTGAAACTATTTTCTGGTACGAAGATGGTTTTTATGTTACTTATGATTATCAAGTAAGTGAAAAATTACAATGTTATCTTACTTAAAATACAGTAAATATTATTCATACAATAAAGAAAATAAATCATACAAGTGATGTTAAGATTGCTTAAATTAGAAATTAAAAATAATATCAATACTTGATATTTTTATAATTAATCAATTTTGTTTTATACTTTAGTATTTCATACCACAAGAAGAATATGGACTATATTCACCATTTATTCCATATCAGCAAGTCTCTAATTCGCTTGCTTATGGATATTCAAGTCAAGACGGTTTATACAAACCGCCATTACAAGGATTTCAAACATCAAATTATTGGTCACAGGAGGAAGTGGTTTAAAATGAACCTTTTCAAGAAGTGCCGCAATATGATGTGGCCACAAATACATCAGAATTTTGGCCACTGGCAGATATGGACGAAAATGAACTTCGTCCGTTTCAAATAAGAACAAATGAATCGGAGTATCCTGTAGCCGAAACGTCGCTACATTCGATGCAACCAAATATGTTGCAAAGTAATTCGGAGTCGGAATGTGAGGCGCAAAAAAAAGTGTCCGAACATGAAGTTTTTGTTCCGGATACAATAACTAATAAAAAACCGGACATGCATTCCTCATTAGGAACTTCTGAAGATTTATCAATTTCTACGCATCCACATAATAATGGTAAATTCCATTAAACTTATATTAATAATATATACTAAATACATAAAACACAAACAAATATATTAATGATTACATACCTATTAACAGTTATATTTTTAAAATAACTGTTCGTAGGGCTAATGAAATAAAGGCCGTATCCCTACAGCTAATAGTCCATCTAAATCCTGTACAATAAAAGTTTAATTATAAAACCCCTAGAAAACTATTTATATAATATCAAATATATAAATAAACATAAATAGTAAACGTGATTCATCAAACACAGCCAGATATGTGGACCTTCAACCACGTAACTTCTGTGTGGGGTGTCCACAACTCTGGCTAATCATAATGTTTATTCATGAAATATAATAATAAAATTTTAAGAAATTTGGAAACAAATTAAATTTATTAAACATTTATAATAAAATTCAATATAAAATGAAAGCGTTTTGTGTACAAGTATTTAATATAAAATAAATTTATTTGTTTTTAACATTTTGTATTGCTCAGAAATAAAATTTAGTGATTATTCTTTTTCCGTGTCATTGTTATACTTTAGAACTGGAATCAGAACCCGAAATTTCGTGTACAAATGATTCTGATGCGAATAATTTTGCATCTTTCAATACCTCAGAAAACGTGGAGCAAGTGAAACAAACTGAAACAACAGTGAACATAACAGGAGACACCACAATTGACGTAATTTCGGAAGATTTCGATGTCGACGAAGTTTCTATCGCTGTAAGTTTACATATAATTAGATTATTTTTTGGACAAATTTCTTAATATTTCGATGTCGACGAAGTTTCTATCGCTGTAAGTTTACATATAATTAGATTAATTTTTGGNTAACAATGAAAAAGCTAATAATTTTGAATGTCATTAAATATATAAACTGTATTTATGTATAATTATAACTTTGTTTTTTTCCACATAAATATTTTTATTTACTGTATGTATATGTTAAATTTGATAGCACTAATGAAACCCTTGTTTATAAATTCGATTATCGGAGCCAAATGATTTTTTGCTGAAGTTATTGGGTTAGAGTGTAGCCCAATAATTTCGACAAAGATCCTTGGCTTTAATCAATTATAATTGGGTTATGACATTTTGTTTATATTTATATTTTCAGTTTTTTCCCCTTACATCCAGCACTGTTTTACACATGCACGAACACAAATACAAAATTTATAGCTCTAATGTAAATGTCAGGATAGGAATTTAACTACTGTCATTAATATTAAATCTCCTGCTAGAGATGGAAGTAGGTTTTTATCATTATTATATCTATAAAATAAATTTATTTGTTTTTAACATTTTGTATTGCTCAGAAATAAAATTTAGTGATTATTCTTTTTCCGTGTCATTGTTATACTTTAGAACTGGAATCAGAACCCGAAATTTCGTGTACAAATGATTCTGATGCGAATAATTTTGCATCTTTCAATACCTCAGAAAACGTGGAGCAAGTGAAACAAACTGAAACAACAGTGAACATAACAGGAGACACCACAATTGACGTAATTTCGGAAGATTTCGATGTCGACGAAGTTTCTATCGCTGTAAGTTTACATATAATTAGATTATTTTTTGGACAAATTTCTTAATATTTCGATGTCGACGAAGTTTCTATCGCTGTAAGTTTACATATAATTAGATTAATTTTTGGACAAATTTCTTAATATTTACAGTCGACCCCCTATAACACTGTTGATTTTTCCGTTTTATATGAATTCCATGTTGTACGAGTCACTTAGATTTTACAAATACGTGAGCCGTTCACAGCCTGGCACACGTATTTGTAAAATATGTGTAAAATACATTTTCAAACCCAATCTCAATTATATTTTAACGTGTTTGATGCAGCAGTTTATAGATTCAATAGAAATTTCAAGAGAAATTTTTTAACAATAAGATTAACTTTGTTTTACAGAAGAAAGAGAGGAAAAAACAAGTAAAGTTAGCGCTTGACAAGAAAGTATGCAGCGCCATCTCCCATCGCTAGCAATAACTAAATTCGATTAATAAAAAAATCGGATACGATCCACATAATAATGGTAAATTCCATTAAACTTATATTAATAATATATACTAAATAAATAAAACACAAACTAATATATTAATGATTACATACCTATTAACAGTTATATTTTTAAAATAACTGTTCGTAGGGCTAATGAAATAAAGGCCGTATCCCTACAGCTAATAGTCCATCTAAATCCTGTACAATAAAAGTTTAATTATAAAACCCCTAGAAAACTATTTATATAATATCAAATATATAAATAAACATAAATAGTAAACGTGATTCATCAATAAAAGTTAGTTGGTTAAATTTTTTTTGCTATTTGGGAGAAATAGGAGTCTTGAAAAACAGCTTCTCTACATTAAAAACTGTTACCTCTCAAACCATGTCACTCTAAGTCGTTTTATTCAGAAAGACTTTATTTCATCAGTTAAAATTTTTTCAATGGTTAAAAGAAGCAACAAAAGAGTGCATTTTCTTTTTACGATTCCAAATATAGAAATAGATTTAAGAAATAAATTAGAATTTAATTAGAAATTAATTGAAATTAATTAGAAATTAAAGATATAAAATTAGAAATAAAAGCTGTTTCATACAAAACCAAATTCAAATCCTATCACATCTACGAGATATCTAGGTAAGAAGCCAACGGAATATGGTCTAAAATTCTTTCCTGACACCATTCCTTTAACATTTCTTACTACTTGCATTTTATTTTACTCCTTTCGCCCAGTGGACACAAAGTAATAGTAATAAAGACTAATAAACGTATCAAGAGTAATAAGAAAAATAAACGCAACGCGACGAAGCAATCTCGGCGCAATCTCGGCGAAGCCGAAGAATTGCAATTCGGCTTCGCCGGCCAAAAAATATAGAACCTTAGTACTAAAGATCTGCAGAAATAATACGAAGCTAGAATTTTTGACGGAATGCAGAGTTCATAACCTATTTCCCATGTCAATCTGGAGGGTACGTTTACCGCATGGATGCGCGTCGCTTATTCCTAAACTTAGAACAATCTGTCTACGTAAGGCGATCCGCAATGTTAGACGGAGAAAGTTTGTCCTGCAGAACGAACTAATAGAGCTAGAGAATGAACTATATGACTACGACCCTAAGATCTTAACAGAAGTTAACGCACGAGTAATAACGTTGGCCGCACAAGTGACAGAAAGATGTAAGAAGAGATACAGGAACAAAATGATCTGGATCGTAAAACATCAAAAAGATCGATTTAAAGAATCGATCACCCCGAGGATTATATGCTGGGACAACATCGATTTGCCTACATTCGTAAAGGAAGCAAGTAAATACGGGCCTAAATACGCCCCAATACCGGTAATCAAACAGGACAGACTCATACCAGATATCGAGCAAGCATTAGAGGGCCTCAGCGAAACTAAGAAAGAAATGTTTAGATGGGAAGTCGCATTGAAAATCAAGCATGACGAATGTAAAAGAGACAGAGATCCCATATGGCCTTGTATTAGAAAAACTCAGAAATGGATTAGAAGCAACAACATAGTACTCACTAGGGCGGATAAATCAAAGGATATGGTGGTTATGAAGAGAACCACATACGACCACCTTCTATCAGCATACATTAAAGACACGTGCTGTACGATCGCACCCCCCAACGCCGTAGGGAAACTGCAAGCAAGAGTCAAGAGGTTCGCAACCACTCCGCTAGCTAAAGAACTAGGTATGAAGAATATAGTCGTACAATCCCCTTCTACTCCAAGGCTGTTTGGATTTGCTAAAACCCATAAAAAGAAAAAAGAAATAAGACCAGTTGTCGATAAAGCATGCGCCCCTACAATATTACTCGAAAAATGGGTACACAACTTTGTTCGGCAGCATGGCCCTAATAATCCATACAGCGTCAAGCAACCGATAGAGGTTTTAAACAAAATGGCTAATATTAACTCGCAAGAAGTGAAATATATGACGGTGTTAGACTACAAGGCCTTGTATCCTTCCNCTTGTAAGGTGGCCCCTACAGCTATTAAATACGGACTTATCTGCTATCCGTAAATTACTAAATATGCAATTTAGCACTGTAAATGACATCACTACCAACAAATTGCTTTACTTTCAAACTCATGTTTAGATCTCATTATTATATATAATTCTTATTCTAATCATCGTTTCGCGGTGCAAACACTACTGGAGAAAAGACAGTACTGGGTCTAAAAAGCTGAAATTTTAATCTTAAGCCTTTCTCGTTATCAGTAAAAGGCTGGTGAAACCTTTGGACGATTAAGTCAGATTTTGCGGGGTCCCACATCTTACTTCTCTCGCTGCATAAATTAAAATCGCATCCAAACGAATGATTTTCATTTTAAATATCGACTAGAATAACAAAAGTCCAAATTTATGCGAATTCAACTTTTTTGTATCGATTACACTAACTGCCTATTGAAAGCATTCGGTGGGTAGCTGTCGTTCTTGCATAACCGTAAGTCATAGCTGCCACGAATTTGAAACTACAAACTTTCGAAATTTCAGAAGTTTGTACTTTGAAACCCGAGGAAGGCTTATAAAATAAACCGTAAACGTTTGTAAATTAAACGGTTTTCGTAAGAACTGTAAATTCATACCCGATTTTTTTTATCGAGTTAGGCTACTCTCCCTTACAAAAGTTATAGTTTTGTCTAACTTACATTCGTCTTTAGATAAACGAGTTTATTAAAAGATAGTGGCCTGAAATTTACTGCAGACCAAAATTTTCGTGATGACAGTATTACAGTCGTTTCCCCCTTATATTTATAGGATCCGGATTGCATCCAGCGACTATATAAAAATTCAATTCGATTTTAAAACTACATTATTATTTTAAATTTATGATTTCTTACATTTTTATTTTTAGTAAGTATAAATATTTATATATAATAAACTAATGCTTCATTTTGTTGTACACGTAATAAGAACATTCAAACGCCCAGTGTAAATTTCAAATTAACAGAAGATATGTTAACTGAAAATTTTTGATGCAATGTATGGAAAGTGAGAAATTATAGAAAATAAATTTTTGCTTGATGTAATTTATGAAAAAGAAGAAATTTCTGCGCGAAGTGATAAATTTGATTACACGAAAAAGAAATACGTAGAAGAACGAAAGAAAAAAATAGTGACAGCAGCACCCGGTATTCCCAGGTCGTCTCCGTCCCAAGTAAGGCGCTAGATAACCCAGGTATGCTCATCCGCCATTTTGGTCCTTAGAAAGCAGACGATTCTCATAGAAGTTCAATAGAAGAGACACGAAAATACTGTAATCATAAATTCAACTGTATCTTAAGATTTTGCAAGGTCGAAATGATAAACTTTGTCAAAATTTAATGCAACTACAGTTATAAAATACAGCTAAATTTAAAAACAAGTATAATTTAGATCGGAAAAAAATTACACGCGAAAAAAAGTTAACGCAAGATCAATTGGAAAAACCAAGTGCAACAGTAACTTGGGAAATTTGGTGCATGTAAAATGTATTTATCACAAATTAATTAAAATTTGTTAATTAATTAATTAAAGTTCTTTGATTCAAATTAATTTTAATTTGAATCAAGGATCTATTCTAATTCGAGTCTCAAGAGTCAACGGAAACACCAGGTCTTTGCTTTCAGTTTCTTTTATTATTAAATACAGCTATATTGTCATATTG